AAGTTCAGCAGCACTCCTTGCCAGCTTCCTGTAAATTCTGTTAGAGTCGTGGTGGGTATTTTCCTGCTTGCCAGCCTTTTTCTCTAGCACCAAAGCAAACTTCTCCAGCATCCAGCAGGCTACAGCCAGACCCTCCCCATTGAAGTCTAGACCGTAGATTCAGCAGGAAGAATCTCTGCTGCTGGAGAGGGGGCTGTGTTACAGTGTGTTACTTTGGAACTCTGACTTAGTCCTATAGATAAGAGCTTCTCCTATGTGTGCTATTGTATGTATGTATGCTATTCCTATCTTTAGGGTTCTTTTTACACGTTACTAATTATTTTTCTATTATTGGTTAATAATTCTTTACATTAAACTTTCCTTGCTCAAATTACTGGGGTTTTTTTTGTTCCTGATTAGACCCTGATTGAGTTGGTAGGAGTCCATGAAGTGCATGAGAGGAAAGGCACTAGATGCAGAAAGATGAACAATCACATATCATGAAACAGCACAGTACTTGTAAGGAATTGTGCTTAGGTATATGGTGGTGAACACGTGTAGGGTGATGAGGTGGCAAAGGACTTGGAGAGGTGGGGCTGTACCACTTAAACCTGGAGAGGCCCAGGTTCTTTTCTAGACCAAGAAAAGAATGGTTTTTATGCTGTGCTCTATACCTTTAATTTAAAAAATATTTTCCAGGCACTACTAGACAGAGTAAATACACTTACTCTTTTCAAAACTAATTAGGCAGAGTAGATACTGAGAAATTTCTTGGACAAATCTTCGAGGTTAATCTATAGCTAACTGACAACTGATGATATTGTGTCTAACAGGTAAACTCAGCATCAGTCTCTAGAGAATGAGCGCCCCACTGCGGCCAAGTAGAGAACTGACAAAGAAATATTTTCTGTAACTCCCAAAGGGTTTGTGCTCTGCTTCCTTGTAAAACCAGTCACTGTGTCACTCAGAGCACAGTAATACATGGCTGAGTCTTCCTTTTGAGCTGATAGCTTCTTCAGATGGAAGGACTTCTCACCCTTGTTAAGGTTGGCTGTGAAACCTTTGATGCTCTTTCTTGAGGTGTGTGTCAGGAATAACTGAGGACCTTGATTGGGGTACTGGACGTACCAGAAGAGCACAGGACTCAATGAATACGAGTAGTTGCACTTCACCTGCACTGGGGCCCCTTCAATGACAGAGATGCGGTCCTCAGGCTGAGTCACTGTCTGGGCTCGTGCTCCTCCTGTAACACCAAGTCTGGATCAGGTGAGTCTTGCAGACTGAGGAGAATATTTCTTTAAACTGATTCTAAATCAGAAGACCGTAGAAAGATAGAATAACAAAAACTTTACTCACTGAGTGTGAACATTAGCACAAGCACTGAGAGGACGATGGGCTTCATGTCTGACCTGGGGGGAGGCAGGAGGCTCTTCTCTGGAAACAGTTCAGCCACGTGGACACTCTGACAGAGCGGTGAGTGAGTTTACCCAGCAGGTAAAGCAAAAACTCTTCCTCAAAGGGCTGGTTGCGTTCTGACTTTCTACCGAGTTCAATTTGTGTAGCATCTTTCTCTAGAGGCCAAATCTGATACTGCAGTTAATCTCAGTCTTCAGGAAGCCTTGAAATTCTCAAACAGAATTGAGGGGGATTTCCTCTACAGTTAATAAGACAAAGCGTAATGCCCTACTAATTGTTATTAGAATGGTCCAGCTAGAGAGATCAATGGAACAGGAAAGAAAGTCCAAACATACAAATTACTTATGGGAATTTAAATATAATAAAAATAGAGAAAAGATGGCATATTCAATAATATGTGCCTTCATGAATGAAGAGTCATTTAGAAATTAACAAATAAATTTGGATGCCTACCTTAATATCTGTTGCAAAATAAAATCCAAATGAAATAATATTTAATATTTTAAACTAAAATTAAAGATAAACTATTGTTTATATAAGTTTAGGATAGCCATGAATTTTTCTAGGCATGACAGAAAGTATAAGGGAAATATTGATAGATCAGACTTCATAGAACTTTAAACTTCCATACAGGTATGTCAATGAAATGTTTAAACGTTATCAAATCAAGTTATTTTCCATCCATCATCATTGATTCTGAACATCCCCTCCACAGGAAGTGGTCCTTTAAAATTTTAGTTTCACAAGTTTCTTTCTTTCCTTTTTTTTAATAGGCCATAAAAGGAACAATCATTTGGCCTAGGAAGAAGGCAATTCTAGAAACATGGGGGATTGAAAATGTCCTTGATCCCCTGTGCTTATCCAAGGAGCTTCTGTGGTGACCAGTCAGGCTAGGCCGAGAGAGTTCAAGTGGGGTATCCCATTTGGGGCTTATATTTAAGTCTGGGGTCAGGTAGCAGGGAACTCCAGGATAAAGAGCAGAAAACTACGGATCACGGAGTGAGTTTGGCCTGCAGAAATCAGTGGACCTCTAAGAAGGAAACTGATTCTCTTGAGAAGCCTCTCCTCTGGCCCCCAAATAGCTGAGAAGAAAGTAACAGGAAGGCTGAGATCCATCTTCCTTCATGAAGCAGAATACAAGGAGAGCAGGGAGCAAAGAGAATTTCTTCTGGTTTTTCAGCAGGGTACTGACATTGCTGCTGATATCAGCACCCTGCTGTCTGCTGAGCTGCTGACCACGGGCACAGAAACATCTAAGCTTTTCACTCTCCCAGGATTTCCTCTACTTAAAGTGCCCCAGTAATCAGACTGTGAGGAAGAGAGTAGAGAAAGGGAAAAGATATTCAGAGAGAAATAAGGACCTGATCTAGGCCAAGTATACCCTGAAAAAATTAGGTCAATGATCAAATTTCCTCAGCCAAAAATCAGTACACATAGTTTGAAAAGTTATTGACAATTCATTTACAAGAAAGCCCTCACAAAGAAAGCAAACATATCATTGAAAGCATTATTTACTTATTTAATCACCTTAAAGGAGTAATAAAATTACATGAAACTAGGACAATTCTGTAAACCTCAGACCTATGGTCATATGAACAGATACAATGTCTCCAACAAGATTTTGGTTTATGGAAAGAGAAATAGAACATGTATACGATGGCCACCTGACCTTATTTCCATCTCCCTTGTCCTCCTATCTACAACTTTCCCTATATACTTTGCAGGTAAACCTGGCTAATTCTACTCTGTGACTATGAAGAACAGGCCAAAATGCAAGTAAATATGTCCCATTTCTTTCTCCCCAGTCTCTCCTTTTGTTTTTTCTTCTTCCTCTATATTTATTATTTTTCTCTCATTTCATCTTCTAATCTCCTTTTACCCGTTTTTTTGGTCTCAGAAGAGTTTTAATAGAAGATAGAAATCATTGGAATAATTTCAAAGTGAGAGTAAAGGCTGATATTTCAGAATTTTTAGTCATGAAAATAAAAAGTATAAATAAGTAATGTAGATGTTTTCTTCTGGAGCTTCTAGCTTCACCTGGCCCTGGTTATGCTCAGTTCTGCTTGGGGGCCCCTGTCTATTACACCCATCACAAGGGTACACTTTCCTCACAGATGAATATATGTAGATTCCCCTGTTCTTTATTTTTTTTTAAAGATTGGCACCTGAGCCAACAACTTACCAATCTCTCTCTCTTTTTTTTTTCTCCCCAAATCCCCCCAGCAGATAGTTGTGTACTTTTAGTTGTGGGTCCTTCTAGTTGTGGCATGGGGATGCTGCTTCAGCATGGCCGGATGAGTGGTGCCATGTCCATGCCGAGGATCCGAACTGGTGAAACCCTGGCCGGCTGAAGCGGAGAGCACGAACTTAACCACTTGGCCACGGGGCCGGCCCCTCCCCCCGTTCTTATAGTATATGACTAGTTCAGATGCTCCCCTCACTGCTGCTAACCCTCATTCAAATTAAAGAACTTGAGAAAAAAGTTCCTCATTTAGAATAAAGCCTGGAGAGCCTCCTAGTGGTCTAAAACTGTCAGGCCAACTACTCGTCAGCCTCACCAGAACCCCAGAGCCCTCATTCCATTCTCTCCTGAGGACCATCCACAGACTATCGGGAGCAAAAGAACTCTCAGTCTGGGTCAGGATTATTTTTTTTTAACTAAACTGCTTTCTTCTTCAAAATGCCATTCAATGGAGGTTACTATCTTAAAATATTTTGTCAAGTTGCATCTTTAAGGTTGAATATGATTTTTCCAGTCTATTTTAAAATAAGTCCACAGCAATTTATTGAAGGTGCCCAAGCAAGTTCAGCAGCACTCCTTGCCAGCTTCCTGTAAATTCTGTTAGAGTCGTGGTGGGTATTTTCCTGCTTGCCAGCCTTTTTCTCTAGCACCAAAGCAAACTTCTCCAGCATCCAGCAGGCTACAGCCAGACCCTCCCCATTGAAGTCTAGACCGTAGATTCAGCAGGAAGAATCTCTGCTGCTGGAGAGGGGGCTGTGTTACAGTGTGTTACTTTGGAACTCTGACTTAGTCCTATAGATAAGAGCTTCTCCTATGTGTGCTATTGTATGTATGTATGCTATTCCTATCTTTAGGGTTCTTTTTACACGTTACTAATTATTTTTCTATTATTGGTTAATAATTCTTTACATTAAACTTTCCTTGCTCAAATTACTGGGGTTTTTTTGTTCCTGATTAGACCCTGATTGAGTTGGTAGGAGTCCATGAAGTGCATGAGAGGAAAGGCACTAGATGCAGAAAGATGAACAATCACATATCATGAAACAGCACAGTACTTGTAAGGAATTGTGCTTAGGTATATGGTGGTGAACACGTGTAGGGTGATGAGGTGGCAAAGGACTTGGAGAGGTGGGGCTGTACCACTTAAACCTGGAGAGGCCCAGGTTCTTTTCTAGACCAAGAAAAGAATGGTTTTTATGCTGTGCTCTATACCTTTAATTTAAAAAATATTTTCCAGGCACTACTAGACAGAGTAAATACACTTACTCTTTTCAAAACTAATTAGGCAGAGTAGATACTGAGAAATTCTTGGACAAATCTTCGAGGTTAATCTATAGCTAACTGACAACTGATGATATTGTGTCTAACAGGTAAACTCAGCATCAGTCTCTAGAGAATGAGCGCCCACTGCGGCCAAGTAGAGAACTGACAAAGAAATATTTTCTGTAACTCCCAAAGGGTTTGTGCTCTGCTTCCTTGTAAAACCAGTCACTGTGTCACTCAGAGCACAGTAATACATGGCTGAGTCTTCCTTTTGAGCTGATAGCTTCTTCAGATGGAAGGACTTCTCACCCTTGTTAAGGTTGGCTGTGAAACCTTTGATGCTCTTTCTTGAGGTGTGTGTCAGGAATAACTGAGGACCTTGATTGGGGTACTGGACGTACCAGAAGAGCACAGGACTCAATGAATACGAGTAGTTGCACTTCACCTGCACTGGGGCCCCTTCAATGACAGAGATGCGGTCCTCAGGCTGAGTCACTGTCTGGGCTCGTGCTCCTCCTGTAACACCAAGTCTGGATCAGGTGAGTCTTGCAGACTGAGGAGAATATTTCTTTAAACTGATTCTAAATCAGAAGACCGTAGAAAGATAGAATAACAAAAACTTTACTCACTGAGTGTGAACATTAGCACAAGCACTGAGAGGACGATGGGCTTCATGTCTGACCTGGGGGGAGGCAGGAGGCTCTTCTCTGGAAACAGTTCAGCCACGTGGACACTCTGACAGAGCGGTGAGTGAGTTTACCCAGCAGGTAAAGCAAAAACTCTTCCTCAAAGGGCTGGTTGCGTTCTGACTTTCTACCGAGTTCAATTTGTGTAGCATCTTTCTCTAGAGGCCAAATCTGATACTGCAGTTAATCTCAGTCTTCAGGAAGCCTTGAAATTCTCAAACAGAATTGAGGGGGATTTCCTCTACAGTTAATAAGACAAAGCGTAATGCCCTACTAATTGTTATTAGAATGGTCCAGGGCTGATAGCAGGGAAGATAAAAATGTGTATTAAAAGAAAGAAACCTGTTTATGTCAATTACAGCCTCATGACCAAATCTGGAATCAAGGAATGTAGCAGCTTTTGATAGTCTCTTTTTGCTCTTCATATATATGTGTTGCTTTGCATATTTTGCTATTTTCTTCTCTTGCACCATAATTATTTTATATACAAATTCTTGGAGATTAACTTTACAATTTAGTCTGTATATAACAACATATTCAGTGGAATTTCCTCTGAATTTTGGAAGTGCTTAATATAGCCAGAACTCCATAGTGACTGTTGGGATTATAATGTTTTTAGGAGTCTCCTCATTTTGGGGAAAGGATGAGGACTTCACTTGTTCAAAGCACTGCTTTAGCTTGTTAGATGGAAACATAGAGTCATTTCATTGTTGTTTGGAAGTTGAGATGTGTGTGAAGGGGTACATATGAAAGACAAATAACCAGAAGGATGGGAGGTGCCGCATATCAATTCATTGTCCTTCAACTCCAAATCCCCCTTTTATTGCCCTATTTGTGATTCTGGACCTGGGCCTGTAAACATTTCTCAACGCTGGCTGGCATGATATCAAGCTTTGTCAGTAGAGGGAACTCAAAGGGCACTGCAGAAGGAAGAGGCTTCTCTTCCTACTTCCATGTTTTCCTCACCACTTGTTCTTGCACTGCTTGGCCACTTATGGGACACCAGTGACACTCACCTCCAGCAAAATTCAGTGACAGTCCCACAGGTGGTTTCTTGGCAAGTTTCACAAGCAGTAGATGTCATGAAGAGTGGTCAATTCTGGGTGTACTTTGAAGAAGTGGCTGACCCGATTTCCTAATAGATCAAATAGGGGTGTGAGAAAAATTGAGAAGACAAGGGTGACTTCAAGGCTTTTGGCCAAGGGGATTAGAGAAACTGATAAATGGGGTTGCCTTTTTCCTAAATGAGGAAGAGTTCACATGAAGCAGGTGGGAAGTAAGGAGGCCTCAGTAGCTGAAGGAGTCGAAATCAGGAGATCATCTTCAGATCATCAAGAGGGAGATGTCAAATAGATCATTTAAGATATGAGTCCAGAAATTAGAGGAGCCATCTGGGTTTCAGATATACATTTTGGTATTTAAGTGATTGTTAAGGCTAAGAGGCTGGATGAAATCAGCTGGGAATTTAATATTGGTAGAGAGCAAAGAGTTTCAAGAATAAATTCCTGAGAAATTTCCATGTTTAGAGACCAGGAAGATGAAGAAAAAACCAGCAAAGAAATTGAGAAGGAGCAAACAACAATATGGTAGAAGAATGAAGAAACCGTTGTTGGTTCTCTAAACACAAAGTATTTCAAGAAGGGAGTGTTGTATAATGTCAAATGTTGTCACTCTTTGCTACAGACTGAATATTTGTGTCCCCCTAAATACATATATTGAAACTCTAATCTCCCAATGTGATGGTATAAGGAGGTAGGGCCTTTAGGAGGAAATTAGATCATGAGGGTGGGGACCTTATGAGGGGATTGGTACCCTTGTAAGAGACACAAGAAAGCTTGTTTCTTTCTCTTCCCTCTGCCATGTGAGGATACAACTAGGAGTCAGGAATCTGCAAACTAGAAAAGAGCTCTCATCAGAACCCGACCATGCTGGGTCCCTGATCTTAGAATTCCAACCTCCAGAACTGTGAGAAATAAATTCCTCTGGTTTATAAGCCACCCAATCTATGGTACTTTGGCCCAACTAGGATGTTACTCCAAGTAAGGTAAGTGAAAAATACTAGTTGCCCCAATAAACGCATGTATATATAAATACAAAAATGCTAATTTTCCTATGAAGATAGAGTGAATCTGAACGACTTAAAATCTGGTTCTCTACTACTTAAGAGACACAACAAAATAAAATGAAATGACGAAGAAAGTTCAAAGTGTATGATTGAGCTCCCATTAAGTGACTGCCTCCAGTCAGCACCACAACCACAGCTAGCACCACACTTAACAAGACACCCAAGAGGAAGGCCAGTTCTGATGAAGAAGCCCAAGAGGAGAACTGTAAGAGTCTTGTCTCTGGAAAATGAAACCAAAGCAAATTGAAGGACCATGAAAGGACAAATCTTTTGTCAGAAAAACTCCAAAAAAAATGAAAACGGGAACAAAAGGAAAATTGGAAGAATTGGCATTCCAAGATTTAGAAACTAAGGTATCAGCAGCAGCCAAAGAAATAAAAGTGAGAATAAGTGAGTGATGCAGCAAGAGAGGAAAAAGCCAAGTCTGTATATCTTTGAATATGGACTCTCTACCCCCTTTTTGTTCGATTCATAGAACTACTTTTATAAATTATTTTTAAATCAATGTGTTAATAGTTCTAGAGACTCACTTATAAGAAGGTGGGAATTCCACCTCAACTCATTTTTAATAATTAGATTTAGTAATTGTAAATTTTTTTAAGAAGTGTAATCATTCACCTCGTAATTTCTGCCAAAAAAGTTATGAAATGCTGAATTAAGGGAGGCTTAACTTCTGTGTGTAAACTTTTTATAATATTTTGAGGGGCAGTTATTTTAATCCTACCATATAAATCAAACCACAAATAACAATTTGGAGTATGTATATAAAGTGGATATAAATCATCTTAAACATGTTGGCATTTTGGTACAAATGCTTGAGAGGAAATAAAAATATTACCTGGTCTTAAATATCCGTGTTAGAATTAACAGAATCTCTGAAATTGTGAACTTTGGTAGTGGAGGCCCATTTTCCTATGAAGTTTGTTAAACACTTTGAAAGACTGGAAATTTTTGTTGAGTATGCAATTTTATATTATATCATGAATTAGTGTGACCTCTAAAGATAAAATGCCTAAGAGTTTTTCAGTAGTTTAATCTATTGTCTCTGTTATATTTTTATGAGCTACTGGCCTCAAATTTTTAATTTAGAAATCACTGGAATAGATGTTTCAAAAAACAATTACAATTGGATAGCTTTTAGATTTTCCATATTGCATTAACAATTCTGTTCAACTTATTTATTGGATTTGTGTAACACAAGATTAGAAATCTTGGTGTCATGATATTTAATTTACTTTAAAATATATCAGTATCACACAGTGGGATATTATACATGTATTTGAAGTTAAACTTTAAACCTAGGCTGAGAATCCATGCTGCACTAATTAAGAATCTATGCTGTACAGGTTGCCATAGTTGAGAATATTTGCAGCACAGCTTGTCAGCTAACATTATAACCAAGTACTTCAGTTTTCCACATATTGATCAATACCTCAGGCAGTGCTCATTATCATAATGAATGCTAGAGATGACATTTTTGTAAAAATGCTCTTGCCTTTTTCACTTCAGAACTCTGATACTTTATGATGTAGTTTCCTCAATGTAGGAGTGGGGGTAGCAAGTTGGGGGTGTGGTCTCTCATGAAGAAATTCATCAGAAGACCTCCATCTGGTACAGAGTCTACCCAAATATGGCACAGAATTGATGTTGAAGCTACTATTCAGGAGACAAGTGCTCCCCAGGGCTCAGCCCACCCCGCCCTATTTGCCTTTACAGAAAAAGAAGCCTTCTTGAAAACTCCCTGGGTTGAGTTCTTGAGTCACAGAAAGTCCCAGTGTCTCAGGAGGTTTGTGTTCAGCTCCCCCTGCAGTCCCAGGGACTCTGTGTCATCAGAGCACAGAAGAACTCAGCCAAGTCCTCCAATGAACTGAAGGTTTCCTCAGGTGGAAGGAGGTTTCACTTGTTTTAAATTCAGCCTCGGAACTTTCTGATGTCTGAAACAAGGCTGTTTCCAGATGTGTACTTCAGGAGAAGCTGGTGTCCTTTGTTGCAATATTGCACGTCCCAGAAGAGATACGACGGAAGAGAAGATGAGTAGTTGCACCTCAGCTCCAGAGGGGCTCCCTCAGAGACAGTGATGTGGACATGAGGCTGGGTCACTGACTGGGCTCTGGTCCCTCCTGAAACATCAATGCTGTATAAGTAAAAGCAGGGCAGATTTAGCCATGAAGAAAACAAGTCTCTATTTAGATTCCAGTTAGAACATGCTTACCTTTGTGAAAGTAGGAAAGGGAGCGGAATGTTACTTACTCAGGGCAAAAGCCATCTCCAGCACATGGCTGAGCAGTGGAAACGCTGCAGGCTCCAGAGCAGGAGCAGGTAGGACAGCAGCTGAGGTCACTGAGCCTTCGGAGGTACGAAAAGTGGGGAGGTTGGGCTGGACAAGTCTCTTGCTTTAAAAAGTTTCAAAAACTGTTAAAATACTCTTTCTCTTAATGAGTTTGGATCTCTTCCGGCCTCTTATTCTCATCACAGGTTCCCATCTGCACAGAGGGCAGGGAGGCTATGTCAACCAGCTGTGTGGAGGAGGGGCTAAGTGGATGGGGATAATTTGTGACAAAAGAATCCTCTCATTTGAGCAACAGCTCCCTCTGGAGGCCAGAGGCAGGACCAAAGAGGCAAGAGAGCTGTTTCCTTCTAACTTCAGAGATGTGACAATCACAACTTCAACAGAATGTTTCCTCCTTCCCAAATCTGTGATGATGTCACCTTCTGTAGTATGCGGTATTAATCCTAAAACAAATGAGAAATTGGAGTCATGTAGGAATAGAAATTTACTTCACTGAGAAATTAGTCACAGAAGACTATTCTAGTCTTTGGAATAATATTAAGAGATTCTATATTATTTTTTAGAGCCATTCATTGGCAGAAACAACAAGATCAATTGCCTCAGCTGAGCCCAGCTTTATATGGCCTTATGCTGCTGGATGTGAGCATCAGAGTAGGAGAAAGAGATTATTCCTTTATTTGGTGCTAAAAGGAAAAAAACAAATTAGACTAGAAATTCGTACTTAAACTCAGCCTGAGACACGTTTTATTAATTATTTAATGAATGCAAACTAATGAAGACAATACTTTTCTTTGTCAAGCAGAAAGTGTGAAGAAGACTCTTTAGTTTCAGATGAACAAGTTTGATACTTGTTAAGGCTATGAGAAAGTAACTTAGGCACCATGTGTCTAAGTGGAGAAAGTGAGAGTCCTGCTCCAGTTGTCCATGGTCAGAATAGACTGATATAGTCTGCCAAATTATGGGGACTTCACACTAAGAAGAACATTGACAGAGAAACATCTGCAGAGACATCTGAGAAGAATTATAAAGATAAGGAAAATATGACATATAAATAAGCGATTCTGGAAAGAATTAAAGAGAGAAAAAGAAAAGTAAACCTATATGAACTCAATAAAGCTGGAAGGAGTGCAAGCAGCAAACCAGAAGTGAGAGGAATTGCTGGGGGTAGAGAAGATGTGGGATTGGGGGACAGTGACACTCAAGATAGCTAAGCAAGCAGCAGTCCCATGTGGGTGGGAGATGGGGCCTGTCAACAAGGGAAGTCGCTCTATGGTCCAATAGTAAGATAAAGCTCTGAAGGGAGAAGACTTCCCCACCCAATTTATTTCAGCATAGACACCATTGGGACCTAAAACAGAAATAACTAAGGAGAGAAATCTCAGATGAAATGAGAATCTGGCCAACAGGCGTCCTTTTCACAAAGTCAGAATAACTCACTCCTTTTTGAGTCCTCTGTTGACTGTTACCAGCTTGAAGTCAGTTTTCCCTTGAGTTTTGACTTACTTCTTGATTCTGCCTATATAATTTTCTTTTAAATGTGAGGGCAAATCACATGGTAAGTTTGAAATTTTAAATGTTGCTTGAGTATGCTTCTGATTCAAAATATATGACTAAGGATATGGCCTCTACCACTTTCTTTCCAAAATTCTCACTGAAATAAAATGTAGAAGTATAAACAGTATGAACCTGAATCCATAATGGGAAAAATAATAAAAAGATGAAAGATATCAACAATTCCCATAAGACAGAAAGTGAATGTGAGCACATCGATGGTGAGACAGAGAGGGGAAAAGCACAGCTCAGAATGAACTATGAGAAGATTTCAGTGGCCATGCGAGTGAAGGAAACCTACTCCTTAGGACCCTGGAGAGGCTCTGGGCTGAGAAGGAGAGTGGGTATGAGGGAGGGCAGGAGGGACAGAACACAGGGGGACAAACTGAAGGTCAATATGTGGAATAGCTACGCTAGTCTCCCTCTGTACTTACGTGTGAGAAAATTAGTAGGTCAGCCTTTACGTGAGCATTTAATCTTTGCTAAAGTTGAAAAAACACACCCAGACTGCTGAAGTTTATAGCGTGAGTAGTTGACAGAATTAAGCCACCTGTGAACTGACTTTAAGAGCAGGGGAATCGGAAAAACAACTTAGTAACCAGTGTCCCGCTCACTCATCTAACAAGAAGCCTGCCAATTAATGTGGGGCACCCACACGCCCAGACTACTGGCAAACCTCCCCATTCAGGAAGAAACCTTGAAGGGACATGGGCACAGCAACATAAGGAGTCCATCCTGCTACCCAGCCCTTCGTTCTTAAATATGAACCAAGAACAAAGTGCCATTAGTTTTTTATAAGTATAGATGGCATCTCCTTCCATCAGTCTTTCCATGCATGGAAGCCCAGAGTTACCAACTGCCAATCATTAGAGTCATTTATACCCAGACGCTTTATTGTGTCTAAGAGACCACATCTTCAGCTTTACAATAAATGTGACTTTTTTCCCCCTGTAACTGTAATATCTATTACAAGGCCTAACTTCTATTAGGTCACAGACGTTTTTTTCCTGGACTTGGGCAATTCCATAGTGCCAAGGAATGGGGGAATTCATATGATCTGTGCAGTTTCCAGCTTTCCACACCAATGCTTTTTAAGACATCCTCAATACCATAAGGTCTTTGATAATTGATCCATGCAGGTCTTTACTCAGCATAGCAAAGCTCCTCAGTGTCTGGAGTTCTTTTAGATACTTCCTCACACGGGCTGGCCCGGTGCCGGAGTGGTTAAGTTCGCACGTTCCACTTCTCGGGGGCCGGGGTTCGCCGGCGGGATCCCGGTGCGGACATGGCACCGCTTGGCATGCCATGCTGTGGTAGGCGTCCCCCATATAAAGCAGAGGAAGATAAGCACGTATGTTAGCTCAGGGCCAGTCTTCCTCAGCATAAAGAGGAGGACTGGCAGTAGTTAGCTCAGGGCTAATCTTTCTCAAAAAAAAAGAAAAAAAGATACTTCCTCAGAGATCCTTCTCAGGAAACCTGAAGGCATTTGGTGTTCCCACGCCCTGCCTGTGTGTATGGAGCATTCTATGGCTATGGCTAATGCTTTTAATTTCTATTTGCTTTTGGATAGCAAACAGGATTTCTCTGCCTTGAAGCCTAATCTCTATATCAAGCATTCGAAGGGCCCCAGCAGGTTTGGGTACAGACTGCAGGTGCTGGGGGAGCACCGTGTGCTCACTGCACAGAGGTAGGTGGCTGAGTCGCTGGGCTGGGAATCTCTGATGAGCAGAGAGATATATTGGCCGGCTCTACTGTGCTGAGCTATAAATTTTCCTTCATTCTTGTCGTTGTTGGAGTATGCGTACACCAGAAACTCAGGGCCTTTCCCAGAATACTGTCTGTACCACATGAAGTTCTGGGAAGTACGGTCACTATAAGTGCAGTTGAGAGAGGCAACGTCTCCCTCTGGAACACGCAGAGATCCAGGACTCTGCTCCACTCCCTTCTGTTGGCTCCTCACACCTGTGCAAAAAGAAAATGGTCAGTCAAAGAAGATTGTTTGGGTAGTGGAAGCTTATTTTCCAGAATTTAAATGATCTTTTCACAGGCCTTGCACCCCTACCCGCCCTTAGTTAGAGGGAAAAAACACATTCACTTTTCTACCTATGGGCCGAGAATAGAAAACTACTCCGAATATTATACTTTATCTTCCCAAAGAGATGCCCAAAACTCACAGGTTAACTGAAGCCACAGGATTACTAGTAAAAGTCTTAAGGATTTCCTCATTCTTTCATCCCCTGGTTCACTGAAGGTTCAAGTTTTAAACCCTAAAAAAATAAGTCCAACTCAGACATTTCTAATTCTTCTGCTTTAGGAATAAAAAAAAAATAATCTGTTCTACCAATTGAAAAGACTTCACTACTCCGGCTACACCACCATGCCCCTCCTCTCTTCTCTCTCTCTGTCTGTCTTTCACCCACATACACGTGCACACACACAGGAATACTTGAGAGCTTTCCTCAGGGTCCCTGAGAAGACACTGCCATCTTGTGGACTCATGACAGTGATCAAAGACGTATTCAAAACATAGACCCTTATGTGAACTGATGAAAGTAAAGATCTGCCACCTCAGTTAAATTGAAAATTTGAGAAGCATGCGGTCCCAGTCAAGATGTGTGGGGAGAGGGGGATGTGTGTGTACATGTTTTACATCAAATGGGAACTCTTGTCTGAGCAAAAGCATTTATGTCAAAGAACCACTTTCCTGCCCTGAAAAATCAATCATAAAGTACTCTACTCTAGACGTCTGTGTGAGGTTCTCATGATTCAAGAAGGATTTCATATTGCATACCTCTTCTCCACATCAGGCCAGGCATCTCTTATTTCATTCCCTCACCTCCAATTTTTAAAGAAATCTATTCTAATTTAAAAGAATTGTTCCAAGACAGAATGGCCTAAAATCTAACTGGACAAACGTGTTTGCAGCTCACAACCTGGCAATATTTTTTAACAGGATCAGGGACTAGACGACCTTGGGTTTCATCACTCCATTTATTTTTTTTATTTTTATTTTTTTAATTTTTTTATTAATGTTATGATAGATTACAACCTTGTGAGATTTCAGTTGTACATTATTGTCAGTCATGTTGTGGGTACACCTCTTCCCCCTTTGTGCCCTCCCCCCCCCCCCCCTTTTCCCTGGTAACCACCGATCAGATCTCCTTGTCAATATGTTAACTTCCACCCATGAGTGGAGTCATATAGAGTTTGTCTTTCTCTGACTGGCTTATTTCGCTTGACATAATACCCTCGAGGTCCATCCACGTTGCTGCGAATGGGCCAGTTTTGTCTTTTTTTATGGCTGAGTAGTATTCCGTTGTGTGTATATACCATATCTTCTTTATCCAATCATCAGTTTCTGGGCATGTAGGCTGGTTCCATGTCTTGGCTATTGTAAATAATGCTGCGATGAACATAGGGGTGCAAGGGACTCTTGGGATTTCTGATTTCAGGTTCTTAGGATAGATCATCACTCCATTTTTTTATCTATGACACATCTGTTTTGAAACAGTGCTTGCTTAGGCCATTATTATTATTATTATTATTATTATTATATTATTAACATTATCTTTATTGCAATAGAGGTGGACCTGACTTCAGTACTTAGAATGTAAATAAAATCCAATATATCTGTTCATTGGTCCAATTACTCTTACTCTCTTTTCTTGTATAAAGCTCTAGTATCTAGCGATTAATCTTCAAGAGTTATGGATCTAGTCTTGCTCTCCACATTTCCATCTTACCCTAACCAGCAAACAAGATTTAACAAGGACTATTTCTGCAAGAAGCTTAGTTGGATCTACTTAGAAACAAGCACAGACAGCTGTTGTTCCTCCTTGTTCCACAACCTGCCTCATGTCCTTGCATATTCTGTTGGCTGGAGATGAGCAAGGCAGCAGGCCCTTTTCAGGAACCACGTAACTAGTCCCCATCAAAGATGGACTGGTTAGGCCCTTCCCATTCCCACCAACATCTGTGTAGGAAACAGAATGAGGAATAAGATGATAATATTGAAATCCCTTTTTCTGAGAGTGCATGGCATTTGACAGAAAGCACACAGCCGTTTCTCAGAAAAAGTAAAAACCAAAGGAGATGTGACAGCAACACAAGGCAGCAACCACCACAGTCTTAGAAAATTTATGAAAACCAAATATAAAGCCTTAAAAATAGAATGTGGACCTGAAGCACAGCCTTTATAAGAAGCACCTGCCCTCTTTTAAAGGCTTGTAACAAAATTCATATAAATGGGTTAATAAATCTGATATCGTGGTGGATCTGAAGTCATATCAGTGCTAGCAAAGTGACAAAATTGCCTCTCACATTATCAACTTACCCGCAAGAGTGGCATATTTCTTACAACTGATAAGCCTACATGAACACGTCATAATCACCCAAAGCCCATAGTTTACCTTAGGGTTCACTTTTGGTGTTGTACATTCTATGGGTTTACACAAATGTATCCATCATTGTAGTATCATACGGATTAGTTTCACTGCCCTCAAAATCCTTTGTGTTCTGCCTATTCATCTTTCCCACTCCCCTCAAACTGGCAAATGCTGGTTTTTTTACTGTCTACATTTTGCCCTTTCCATAATGTCGTGTAGTTGAAGTCAGACAGTATATAGCCTTTTCAGATTGGCTTCTTTCACTTAGAAACATGCATTTAAGGTTCTGCTGTCTTTTCATGGCTTGATAGTTCATTTCTTTTTAGCACTGAATAATATTCCTTTGTTTGAATGTACTGCTGTTTATTTATCCATTCACCTATTGAAGGACATCTTGGCTGCTGCCAAGTTTTGGAAATTATGAATAAAGCTGCTATAAATATCAGTGTGCAGATTTTTGCTTGGATGTTAGTTTTCAGCTCCTTTGGATAAATACCCAAGAACATCACTGCTGGATAGTATGGCAAGAATATATTTAGTTTTGTAAGAAACTGTCAAAGTGCTTTATTGAAATGTCCATGGATACACTTTCACTTCCCAACAAAGTTTACTGCACTCTTTTGCTAAATATCTGAGCCCCAGATAGTTCAAAGTATGCACAGTCACAATAGGTGACCCTCCCAACAGCTCAGCTCACACCTGCCTGCTGTGACCATGAACCTGAGCCTGCATGTGTTCCTGTCCTGTGTCCTGCTGCCCCACGTATCTCCCCTGCTCACACACATGCTCTATCCTCTTATGGGATTTCACTTACAAAAGTACAAAGATAAAATTATTAAGAATTACAAGACAGTGATAACAAAGCATTAAACCAAGGGCAGGGTTCCTCCTGCAACTGCACAGGGCACATGCCCAAGATTCTGGCCTTGCTCCCAGCTTCACTAGACTCTGCCCATTTGTCTCCCTCTTAATTTTCAGGGTTCCACTCCTATCAAAGCCCTTTCATTAACATAAAAGACAGTGCAGCTTGGAATTCAATTTGCACTGTAATATTCCTACAATCAAGTTCAAATTTCAGGTTTGGTTGTCAGAAGTTGTTGTCTCTGGCTACAACAGACAAGGGTTTCTATTAGGGTGGTCCTGGAAGCTTTCTTCTCTCTTTGCCAAACTGCGAATGATGTTACAAAATCATTAGTAATAGATTTATTCAAAATGCAAGGAAGAGCTATGGATTTTAATGGAACAGAATGAAAATTTCCAGGAGCACTTCCATAGCAGGTGCTATTTAGAAATGACATAAACGGATATTTTGGTCAGTGATGTATGTAAATACATTATACAAATTGATCAATAGAAATCCTTTCAATTTTGTCATTCTGAAGAGTCTTCTATATCAGGCAGCTCAAAGTTTAAGATCTGATGTTACCCCAACTTCACTAATTTAGTAATAATGTGAGCTCAAGCTAGTCACTTATGCTCCACAATCCTCACTTTATTCATGCATAAAATGAGAGAAACTACTTATTTACAGGGTATTATCAGTACTGAAATATATAGTATTTGTAATAAGCTAAATAGCGTGGTTGACTCTCAAAAAAATATTTCTGTCTATTTTTTATTTCCAAGAGTGGAAAAGCTAAATCCAATTTTTGAAAAACATTACACGTGCTCTCATTCCTTTTCCTTGAAAGTTGAACCATCTGTGGTTAACTGAAAAACTAAGTCATCTCTTTCTATTTGTTGACCACTGTAGCCTTTTTTTTTTCACCTTCTCAAACGTTTTCAATTAGAAAAACTTACATATAATTTACAAACTATCTGCCAGTGCTTATGTTTTAACAGGACATTCGATATTAGCATCTTTATCAGTTGCTTCAATTGGCCCATATTAGACCTTTTTATCTGCAAACAGATTTCTGGGAAGAAAAAGGGCCAAAAAAACCTCCAAATGAAATGACAGTCCTGAAGGGTTTAATTGTAGGAGGGAAAAAAGTACCAGAACATGAATCTGAAAGCCCAAGGGTATGCAAATTCTACTGTGGAGGCAACATACCCACTCCATGGAAGGGGTGGGGCTGCAGGCCCAGCTAGGTACAGGCTGCAGATCACCTGGGAGCGCTGTGCCCACTGCACACAGGTAAGTGGCTGAGTCTTCCAGTTGGGAGGACGTGAGGAGTAGGGTTCTATACAGTTCCTTAGAATTCATTGTGCAGTTTAATCTTCCATTCTGCTTCATCCCTGAAGCTATGAAAAATGGATTGATGAGGCCGCCCTCAGGATTCTGTCTGAACCACTGCGCAATGCACACCGTGGTAGAAAAATTGAACCTCAGAGTAGAGCTGGTTCCCTCCTGGAGGCTCAGGGCTGAAGGACTCTGCTGCACCTTGACCCCTTGCACCCCTGCTTGGAAAGAGAAGACCAACACAAATCATGTCCCTGGGGAGTCATAGATGCAGTTTCTAAATGTGTAAAATATCCCCAGAAACACCCATGAGGATGTAGGACCATCTAGGAGCTCTGTGTCAGCTCTCCTTCCTCTCCCTCCCCCTGTCAGCTGTGGAACACTCCCCAGGCCCCCCTGTCAGATGGCCCCAACTCACAGCAAACCTGAACCAGCAGAACTCCCAAGTGTCTCTTCGTGACTCTTTCTTTGCTCAGTTGCTGAGGTGCCTTTGCCCTGTGTTGGAGGGTGTCAAGTCTTGGATTCAGACAGATTTTGTTCTCACAGTCAATATGTTCCACTAGAATCACTGAGCACCAGTCACATCTGAGCTCTGTCATTCACTGAGCAGGAAACTTTACCCAGTGTCCTGGTGAGACTGCCCCGTGATCTCTCCAAAAGTGTGGGCTCAATAGTGCAGGGAAGTAAGAGCAATGTTTCCAATATATGAAGTTGTAAAGTGCTTTTTTCTTAAAATGCTTTATGTAGGAGAAGTTTCTGGGTTACTGCATGAGGAAGAGGGGATCATGCTTCCAAAAAGAATCAGTGTCTCCATTGGGTTGAATAGTGTTGAAGAATCATGAAGCCTTTAAGTTGAGCCTA